AAAGTTTGGGAAAAGTATGTCTGTTTTAGAACCAGCGATACGGGAAAAAGCTAAAAATATTACTGAAGTTCATGTAATGACTTTAAAGCTTCAAATGGGTAGCTTGAAAAGTTCAGATAAATGCATATAATGTTGATTAAATCAATATGTAGGAAATCATTAGCCATTGATAGAAAATTTGTTAATGGCAATCAAAGAAGCCATGGAAGACAGAATTACTAAATATTATCGAAAAATTTGCAAAGCAAGCCATTTTCAATGCCGACGAGACAACGTTTTTTAAACATTTTACCGGACTATGGCATTTAAAAATGAAACAAGATTTTTTTTTTTAAATCATGTACTCGTATGTTCATTTTGTATTTTTTTTAAAAAATTAATTAATTACACTCTAGTTCAATTTAATATAGCGCCTATTTTTTTGTTTTACCTCTTATGAATTTTAAAAACGTATCCTCTCTGGATAGCAGAATATTCAAATTGCGAAAAAAGTGTCAATGATCTTGAGTGTTCTTGGGTCAGAGATTTTACTGTAATATATAACATTGGAGTAAAAATAGGTTCATTTTGAATAACTATGGTTCGAGTTAAATTGTTTTGTTTTACTTTATGTAATAAACGAATTATAAATCACAAACAGAATAGGGCATTTGCAAGAACTTTTTAAACAAGTTAGTTAAAACTGTATTTTTTTTTTAAATTTAAAATTATAATTCAATTTATTTGCTACAGAAAATTATTCAACTGTAAAAAATTAACATCATTCGTTAATTTTTTTCCCCATCTGATCCGATTTAATTATTCAACGTGTGTACCGAATTTTATTTCATTGTAGTTATGTAACTTTTGTCTTATAGTTAAAATATTTTTTCGTTTAATATATTAATTTTGTTGATTATCCAACCATCAGTCAACATTCTCTCTAATTCTGCTGGCATACAATCAATTGTTCGAATATAAAAGAAACTTCTTCTATTGAATTGATACTTCTAAAATTGTGAATAAAAAAATAACCTTGAAATTTCAGTACACTAGTGCAGTGATTTTCAACCTGGAGTCACGACCCCCAAGGGGGTTGCAAATCATAGGTTTAGAGGTAGTCAAAAATAATGGATGAAATGGTTTATCCATATTATTTAAAAAAAAAAACAAAGTAAATTATTTATTTAGTGAAATTTTTAAGTGTTAATTAATCAAAATTGTTTATCATGTCAATATTTAATAGATAATTAAATCAAATTTTGATGAATAAAACAAATTTTTTTTTTTGAAGGGGTCGTATTACACAAAAATAAAAAAATGGGAGGTCGCGATCCGAAAAAGGTGAAAAACCACTGCATTAGTGTAAGGTATGCATAAAAAAAATGTGGAAGTCAATGGTCATGTTAAATGATTTTATTTTATTTAAATATTATATTATATACTTAATTTCAGTAAATACTTCTGATTTTAATTAAACTGAATGAAATGGGTATTTCGGCTAACAATCACGACAAAAAGTTAAGTCTTTTTATCAAAACATTTTGTACATTTTAGTGTTTATACTTGAAGTTTTTAAACTCAACTTAATGAAACATTTAATATTACTTATATTGATATAAATAATACATTGTATTTTCACATTTTTTTTTCATTTTTATGCTATAATACAAAACTATCGAAACATGTATCAAAATAACCACAAAAATATTATATGAACCTTGATATAATTATTTTTATATTATGATAACTAGGGTTACTGATGTGAGAATAAATTTAGGTGAAGAAGAAAAATATCTTTGAACCTATAATAATATTCCATAAGAAGAAACTAGAAATCGAGTTATTTCAATTTTGCCAGTAAGATTTTTTTTTTTTACTTCATAGACCAAATTACGCATCTATTTGATTTTTATTTAACGTTTAAACACGTATAAAATTATCAATTTTTTATCATAAAGTAATATAAATTGAATAAAATAATTTTAATTAAAAATTTAAAAAAACTCATATTGAAATAAATAATTTATCTTATACAGTTTATGAAATTAGCTTCTTTGTCTAGAAATTAGAAAAATTTACAGTAATTTTGGTAGTGTTATTTAATATTCAGGTTTATGTATTAAAATATGTTTATCTTATAATATTACTAAATAAATATTATAATATATAAGCGAATATAAATAATAATATATATCTGAACGTTAGAACTTATTTTTTCGTTAGCTTACATAGTAAGTTTTTTTTTTAATAGAGTTGACGATTGACCTGTTGGAGAGGATGGATTGAGTATGGTATTAAAGATTATTTATATTATTCTAATCAAAAATACGTTGTCTCATTTAAAATAATATAATATAAAAACATTGATAGGTACTCAATAAGATTTAAAATATTATAAATATATTTTTGTACTATTTAATGCCTAAAATAACATACTAAACTTGTTAAATGATTATTGTAATAATATTTTATGTATAATAGTTATGCTATAAATTAAATTATATATTATTTAAAACCTATGCAATTAAATATTGTGTATAATCATAGTACTAAATGTACTGCACTTTGTTAAAAACAAGATATATATTGATATGTTTTAAATTATCTTGTTCATAAGATCATTGAAATTTATTTATTATATTATTGGACCTGAAAATATTTTTAAATCTGAATAAATTTATATCCTTTACTGAAAATATTACGTATTGTTATTTTTCAAATTTAATATTCACTGATATTATCTAAAATGTATAATTTATCGTGAAGTGAATGCATTAATAACTTTTTTACTGATTCATAACTCGTTCTGTAAAAACATCAAATATAAAGCTAATAAAAATTTAGATGATGAATAACAAAAATGTTTTTATTGTTTTTATATAAAAAAGAAAACGTTATTGCATATTTTATGGATTTTTTGTCAACTATATGTATACTAATTTTATTTCTCTTAAAAAGAAAAAAATTTTTTTCTAAAATAGTTCATTAATTGCCCAAAATATTTACAATTATTATGTATTTTGGTAATCAAATATACTTAATAATACACCGAAGAGAGTATCAGACAAACATCAGTGATTGCTAATTGCATAAAATTACGCTAATGAATTAATTTTATGCAATAATCTAGCAAACTTCTACAAAAGTGGATATTTGTCTTCCAACTTGGTCATTTTCTACAACGTATGCATTAAGGACTATTTTTAGGCTACGTATTACATTTAAAAAAAAAAAACCTCATATAATCATAGTTTTTATTAATTATACGAGTATTTCAAAAGAAACTTTATTATTTTTAGTAATGTAAATTATAATGTTTGTTATATATCATCATTAAAATGATAAAATTATATTTTACTTTAATAAATATACTAGTATACAAAATAATATTGAATTATAGTTGGATTTAAGAAACTATTAATAATATATTTTCCAAGTGATTCAGAGACAATTAACTAATAATGTTAACTTTTTAAATGTATAGAAAAAATTGTAAACAGCAAATATTTTAGGATCAGATATAATAATATACGTTTATCTTTTAACAATTATTTAAAGAATATTATGAATGCCTTAACTGATCACAAATTTTTTTGAATTGCATTGATTATAAGCTCTATGAGAACAGTGATAAATTATCAATCGTCAAACGTTTTATTGATAAAATCAGTAAAATTTTATTTCTATAATATTATTTTTAAATTACTTAAATTAAATTAAATTAATAATAGTATTAATTTAATTAATTATAGTATTAATTTAAATTAATTAAATACTATATTATTTTTAAATTGTAGTTTCGTGAAAATTTGTACTGATCGGTAGTAATAGCACGCCTGTTTGATAATACAATTTGTATGGATATTTTAGGTGGGTTATAAACGCATTGGTAAAACAAAATACTAAAGTCAATTATTTTTATAGATGTACAGATTTAATTTAGCTTAATATTCCGTCAAAACATATATTTCTTTTGGTGTCAGTATTACGCGATATTTTATTAACACCATTGATTTTAAAATATACAAACACGCACAATATTAAAATTGGTTCCGTTTGTTTTCAACTTAATCAAAACAGGTTTCCAACAACGTAAAACTATTAATAGTAGTTGTTCTTATTGTTTGAAACTTGTTTTTATTAAGTTAAATGGCAACGCCTAGTAGTCACTTCTACATAGACACAATTAGTTTTAATAATTTAGGATGATGTTTTTTTCTTTCTTTCTTATATTGTAAAATCAATATTATTACTATCTTAATATATCAGTCGAATGGAAAAGTTACGATTTGTACGCTCATATGTCCAAAACGCTTTGCCTAATATATAAAATGTGATAAGTGTATATGGCTTTCTGTATGCGATATTCGTAAAAATCATAAATCAACGTGAAGAGACGATATGATATGAGTATAAATTGTTGGAAATTTCACGTGTGTGCTAATAATAACAACACAGTAACTATGATAATAATAATAATAATAATAATAATTAAGGGAATACGTAATTCGCGTACATTTTACAATACTATATACGATACACCCTTTTATTGTTATTGCGAAATCCGGCTACGTGCTGTATTTATGGCCCTCCGAGAACCGATGACATTACAACTGTCGCTAATACTGGGTTCAAAATTATTGCCACGCAGGGAAATGAATCACTTGTCCTGTAGGTCCAAAATGATTACTAAAGCTTTATGTTTGACATATATACGTACATAAAGTTGTTGGCGCACACGCTTAAAATGTAATTTCAGTGTGTACACAACAGTACGCATATACATAATTTCACGTTGGACATATTATATTATACAATATTTAAGCGTACATTTTTATTTTTACGTTTGATTCATTTTTGTATTGTAGTCCCCCGATGGAAGACATCTACGATCCGTTATTTCTATCGGTTTATATAGTTATCATTTAAATTGTACCCATTGTTCCGATGCGTAACAGATTGTATTATCAAAACATTTAAAATATAAATATAATGTATGTATGTGTGTATATTTATAGAATGGAGGAGCCAAAGGAGGGTTCGATATGAATATAGGACCGGCCTGGCAGAAAGGATACACGGGAAAAGGAGTGGTCGTGTCTATACTTGACGATGGTATACAAACAAATCATCCGGATTTAGCTCTGAATTACGTAAGTTAATATTGACACATTATTAAATAAATACGTGCGAGTATTATTTTTATTTATTTATAATGAAATTTCATTTGTAGGAACAACACAAACATTTAAAATAATATTTGTAAATATGTACTTCTCGCATATTGTTTAATTCGATAAATTTATTTCATTTGGGAACAAGTGGTACTCTGCATAACTGATGAAATATTAGGTATTATTTATGTTAACATCAAATTAGACAATATCTATGCAAAGGTATTTTTAAACTTTGGCACTTATGGTCATGAAGAAATCTCGATTACCCTTTAGCCATCTAAAATGATTCTTTTATCAATTATTATTATTATTATTTATATTCAATACTCTACCTTTAAATTTTTCCATAATTGTAATATTATTCGTTTTTCATACGAATGAAGTATGTACAAATATTAAATAAATATCATATAGTAGTTTCAGTATCTTCTTCTCCTTCGCTTTTCTCCCAACTATTGAGGGTTAGCCTACCCTTGTCCTAAACCTTTACTCGCTTCGACTTTCTACATTTTCTATTTTATAGCTTAAGTATTAGTTGTAAAAAAATAAAATAAAATAAAATAAAAATCATAACTCAGGCTTATCATTACTCTGGAGTAGAGCTTTTCTAAATACGGCTCTGACAGTTTTTCTAAAAAAAAAAAAAATAGTTTCTATATCTAGAGTATGCTCACTGAACACGCGGTGTACCGATTGCCAGTGATTTACTGTATTGAACACAATTTGATAAGAATTATTTGACCCACTAAAAATATTGAATTCAATACCATCGAGTTAGTTTTTAATTAGGTACCTAAGGATTTTTGAAAGATCACAAGGAGATAAATAATCTTTTAGAAATGTACTCTAACCAAGGGTAAAAATCTATAAATTTAAATTATTGTCTATGTTGTAACGGTATTGCGGTCTATTTCAAACCATTATTCTTAAATAGATGTAATAAAAACCCAGATAAATATTCGAATTGTAGTTATAGGTATTTAATGAAAGAGACACAACAATCCCCATTGATCGGATAGGTCCAGAGGGAATACTGTTTTCTGTAATCTCGGATAACCATAAGTCCTATTTTATACGAGACTATTTAGTTTTTTACTGTGAGTCTTGTTTCGACGAAGATAAAACGGACCGTGTTTAGTCGTCGTATTTTCAGAAGATGATCCGTTTAAATTTCATTATTCCCATATTTCTTACGAAGAAATGATGTAACCATTTTTATATTGACGTGTAAATTTGAGCAATTATATCTCATCAAAGCCAAACAATATTCGTTTAAAATTAGCGTATTTTTATTAATATTACTAACCGTAAAACATCCCATTATAAATGTTAATAAAATATTGTCCCAAGTATGCGATCAATTTGTTATCGTGTAACAATACTGATTTGTCAATAAAACATTCAATATGATAGTCAGTGATCATTTTTAATAATTTTTTTTTTTTTTTTGCTCTTTATTAGATATTATAAACACTCTCGGCTTATAAAACGATAAACGACTTTTCGTAATCAAATCAACGAATCAGTATTATTATTTTTATTGGAAATAAAATGGATAAGTTATACGACTGGATAAACGTTTAACTTGCACTTCGAGCGTATTACGTACGGCAGGTTAATTCCCAAAATGTAATCCAATTAGCTAACATAATAATATTATAATGTGAGTAACACGTCATGCACCGATGGAGTGGTTTGTAAACGTGTATTCGTAACGAATTTCATTGTATGAAACGCCAACGCAAATACGTGTTGCAGTTGTTTTTGCTTGCTGAATACAATATCGCCCTCTGTAATAGCATTATACATTCTTGTGTTCATCGTTATATGAGTAAATGAGACAATACGGTGAATGGCACGTGGTTAACGGCGGTAAGTACTTATTTAACACACGGCAAATGTAACGAATAACGCGCATCTATGATGGTTGGAGGAGAAAAAAAAATACTACATCTCTAAGTGGACATTTATTTGTTGTCGTAAAAATGATGCGTTCGTGTACAGGTGCAATTAGAGGGATGCGTATAAATTCTCCAGGGCAGGGATCTTCAACCTTTAGGGCAATGGGTTACCTATTATTTTTTAAACATCTCGCGGACCGTGTTCATAACGAAAATATGTGTTACGAACAATAATTAAGTTTTTGTTATTAACATGATGACAGTTGAAATTAGAAAATACTTTATCGATATTAACACGACAACTATAGTATGCGTACGGGTTAAAATGTTTAAATGTCATATTGTTCTACTACGCCGGTCATCTAACCAACGCATATTTTATTTTTAAATTAACACCTACGATTTGCGAACATCTCTCGAGTTTCAGGATTTTTTTTTTTATAAATATTTCAAAGAGAAATATAAACAAATACAATGATATTTGAAATACAATATGTAATAAGATATTTAATAATAATAATTGTAATACTAAAAAAATATTTTTTAATAAGCATATTACTAAACATAGTATATTATTTTTTCCTTCCGTAAATTCAGATTAAAATCAAATTGTTAACAATATATTAACATGGTTTTCTAATAATTTACAAGTTATTGTTAAGTTATATTATAATCAATTATACGAAATTTTTTTTTTCTTTTTAATACCTATTAACACTACAAACATGAGAAATTTTAAGGTTTCACGTGTTTAGACTAAATTACGTTTAAAAATAAAACGTGTTAAAGGATATTAGTATATCGTTCAGAATGAGTGGTTCGTAGAATGAATGGTAAGTATAAGTTACCGGGCTGAAATAGACTTTTGAATTGTAAATGGATATAATAGGCTTTAGGTAGATATGGATGTTGTCACGAAAAATGGACAAACACATTGGGTACATAAAATTGAATCCTTTACAAAACATCAACATAAAAAATGAAAATATAATGTGAGTTTTTACACGTCATATTCAGAAGACGGGAATAATATTCATATATATTATATATTTTAGTAAATATTTGATTTGAGTTATGTCATTTCTGAAGAAATATTTAGTTAAACGTCAGAAACATCGTATAGTTTTATTGCAAAATATGATAAATATTATTTTCTATTATAATATTATTATTGACTTGTATTAGGATATGTTATAAGTTTACTGCATGATGTGTTTACATTTTTTTTTTTTTTTTTTTTTTATGTTCTATATCAAATATAATAATTTATTTCTATATACAAATATTTAATAATACTAATATTCAATAGCAGAAAATATTTTAGTACCAAAGCATAATAAATGGTAATTGTACCTGAAAAATATATTTATAAAATAACTCTTATAAAATCTATATTTAGAGTTAAATATTTTGACATTCAATAATTATTTATGTTGACAAATTATTATAAATAATAAGAATTCTAAACCAGTTTAATTTTATTTAATAGTAAATATATATTATTGTAAAATAACCAAAATGATTTATTGTTATATTTAGTTTATTTTATTGTTTTAAATCTAATCTAAGTTTGTATTACACAAAATATTTTAAGACCTTTCTGCAGAGATAAATCTTACACTGATAAATATTTTATTTCCAATGATAAAACGTTTAACTTTTAAATTGGCCCTCATCGATATATAATCATTTAAATTCGAATTATATCAATTTCAAAAATAGTTTAAAAAAAAACTCTCCGATAGAGAAATATTTCGGGATTTGTCACTGGTTTTATTTTTATTTTTCAAAAATAAAAAATAGCAAATTTATATATAAAACTGATAAATTAACAATACATGTACTGTCACTTTTTAATTCCAAACATCGAGATATTTTTTTCTGGTGATTAATGATGTTTATTATGCAACGAGTCATTTTAAAATTCAAATATTCAAATATTCAAATAAATTATCGTTAAATCAATATTTTATAAATGTAATTTTAAACTAATTACTTTATAAAATAATTAAACATTAATGTTTAATTAGTATAAATTGTCGATGATAATTCAAAATATACTCAACTAGCTAATTGTATACAAAGTTCATATTTTTATTGCTTGAGTTTTCACTAGAAATAGTGAAATTGTACATAATTATCATGCACAGATAATTTTATTATATGCGTGGATAAAATTTTCCAATTTTATCATTTCTGGAATTCAATGTTCTATCTCAAAGTATCAAAAATTAAACTTATAAAACTATTTCCTGACTTGGCGTGAGATAAAAACATAAAGAAACATAAAGTAACCATTGGACAACTGTATAGGTGTATAAAATTTTATAACAGCGATAAAATATATTTTAAGTTCAATAATAAATTATTAATGTCTAATTTTTAATGTTATTTTTGTTTATTTTAAAAATATACCTCGTGATATAGAATTAAGAATCGTGAGCTATTGAAACTTTTCTCCATTGTATCAAAAAAATTTAAACTTTTTTCTATCTGTTTCATTTTTTTTTAATTAAGTAAAAATAACGTGCAAAAATTTCCAATAAAGTGCCATTGAAATATTTTACAAAATAATTATTAAGAAAAATTAAAAATCGAGGAAAATAACCATGTCAAGAATAACCCTAACCAGAATTTTATGGTTCGTGTTTTAATTGAAAAATCTTTTTAAATTATTACCGCTGTAAATCTATATAGAAAAATGTTAACTCAACTTCATTGCATCGGTAAGTTGATAAAATAAAAAATAATAAATCTCAGATATTTTTTATTCTACTTCTTTCTTTGCAAATATTTAATATTATTCGATTTGGCTTTTTTTTTCTACATAATACTATGGGTTCAATAATTCTGATATTACTTTCTTAATTACTTGTGCTTTTTAAAAAGTCGGTTCATTCAAATTACACTCAGGTCTAAAAAGGTCAACGCTTGTATTATATTAAAACCACACTAATTAAGTTTTCTTTTTTTTATCACATACAACAAATAAGTAAAAGTTAAAATAAAAAAAATCTAAAGTCGATTTTGTAAATAGCTTTTATTAACTTTTCTGTTTTGAACAAAATAATATAA